TTCACTAGTCTGCATGCAGATCCAGGGGCACATGGCCCCTATGGCCTCCTGGTGTGTGTGCAGCAGCAGGAGCTGCCTCCCCATCATACCTGTGGATGAGCGGCTCGTGGCTCCATCCTGCACCCCACCCCAGCTATGCAGCTCCTGCCCCTGCCCCAGCCCCACTCCCTCCCTCACCACAGGGGCCTCAATCTTCCCCTGCTCCACACCCCTTCCCTCCCCCCTTCCCCCACAACAGACTTACCAGCTGGATGCTGGTCTCCAAGCTGCCTGGCTCCATATCGGCAATCAGAACCGTATCAGCTGATATGGCTCATTAAAAATTGGCCATCAGTAATGGCCCAAAAAATCTCTATCAGTGCACCCGTAAAAGATCGGTATGACAGAGGATTTATGTCCGTGTCCATGTGTGTACATTTATTTCCTATTCACCCAGAAGTTATCACTTATCTAGATCGAAGCTTTCTGAATAAAAAACAATTTGTCTATAAAGCTGAGAAATGGGCCATCAGACTTGAAGGTGGTCAAAAGTGTAGTTGGCCAAGAATGTGTCCAGGGCAAACCTTCCTCTCCCTTTTGGATCCAGATGTTTCAAAATGCAGGGGGAGAAACAAGTAGTTTCAGTGCAGCAGTGTGTCAGAGTGGCACTGGATTTCTCTGTTGCTGAGAAGGGTGGGGGACAATTCATCCCATTTATTTGCTGCAGACACCCATGTTGAGCAGCTCTTGCTCTTGATGGTAAAAACATGGGGTGAAATCTCCCTCCCGCAGCATCTATTTCCACTGCTACTGTAAAGACCTACAATCTGTGTGCCCTGCACTCTGAAACACTGTTGCACTGCTGCTGATTGATGGTGCCAGAAAATGCAGGTAGTGTTGGGTGGCACCTGTGAATTCTGGCAGTGGCCCTTTTAGGCAGTGGCTGGGTCATATGTCCTGCTCCTTGACCCCTCCTTATGTTACTGCAGCCCATACTCAAGGAGGATCATACCTTGACAGAAATAGTCCCAACCTCATCTCTACCCATTCCCTGTTCCTGTCTGTCAAACAATCTCCAAACCTGGCCCAATACACCGTCAGAAGCAAACTCCCTACTGATCAACAAACACCAACACAGAACCTCCCTGCCTTAAGAACAGCTGTAAAACCTGTCAACACATTTCTATGCCCATCACAATCAACACCATCAGACTACATGGCTCTTACACATGTCTATCACACTATAAGGTATACCTCATCCAAAGCAATAAGGATGTTTATACATGTGCTCCAGGAGCAGATAAGCACTTTAATTAGAGCAACTCTGAAAGTGCCCAGAGTGTCACGTAAATCAGCATCCCTGCACTGAAAAATGGTGGCGGGGGCACTTTAACAAAAGCTCGTTGAACAAGCTTTAGTTAAAACACCCCCACTGCCATTTTTCAGCTTAGGAACGCTGATACACATGATGCTGGAGTCTGCTGGAGCATGGTCATTACCACACTCCAGCAGACTCGATTAATCAAGTCTGCTTCAGCACACTGTACTTTTAGCCCATTGGAGCAACCTCTCTGCATGTGTATAGGTGCCCTAAATGTCCTCATGGAAACTATATGGCTGAAACTGAATAACAACTATGTTCCAGAATGAACAACCAACCGCAGAAAAAAGATAAAGGCTAAAGACACCCAATAACGTGTGGAAGAATACTTTTCACAAAGCCATCACTGTTTCTGACCAAACAGTCCTTATACTCAAGGGAAATCTAAGACACTGCAGAAGACAGGACTGGGAACAAAAACTTCTAACTTTATGGACACTAAACACCATGAAGTCTCATAGACAATGGTTTCATGATCCTTATAATTGAACTGGTATTTCTTCTAACCTCCCAGTATTCTTTAGGTGATAAGGATACTTTCCCTTCTGAATGGTCTGGTCTTATATCACAGATGTGTGGTTCAGGGCTGATGCCACCCCTGCACATGAGGATTGGACCCATGGGTAGCCACACATTCCAGTTTACATGGTGCTGGGGGCCAGATCTGTCCCACAGGATGAGGGTTGAGCACCCCTGTTTATATGGCTAAGTTATCTATTCAACTAAACTTCTGTTTGAAGCTACTTCTGATAACTTCTCGTTGCTCCTAGTTTACAGCCCTCCTCCACTCCTTGAAGTGCCTCTTTTTTTATATATATGGAGTTACAGACAAGCTAATTATTTTATCTAGTGTTTAGGCTGTATTTGCTTCTTCCCCAGACCTGAAGATGTATACTTGGTGCCTAAAAGCTCGTCTAAAATCTTTCCTAACTTTATAGTTGGAATAATAAAAGAAATTCCTCCAAAATACCCTTGTGATTTGCATGTTTCCTGGATGATCATAGCTATAACTCTCCAACCCTGTTACATTGACTAATGTGCTACAGGAAGCCTGTAGCAGAGTAGGTTGCTAAAACTTTCTGGCCAATGTCCTAACCTTTAGATCATCCTGTTCCTCTTGTTCTATATCTGCTTCTACAACTAATTCTTTGTTCAAGAATGGTTATGCTTTTCTATAAATCATAATTTTTCATGAATCCATGGTAATATAATCATATTTACACATCCTCAATTTTCTTGTTTAATAAAGACTCAGTGTTGGCTAGATTGAAGACTCCAAATCTCTTATTGCTTTGTGCTCTTTGGTTTTATAGTACTATATAATATTTGGAACAGCTAGTCCACCCCATTCAATGAGTCTGTAGCTGCACTTACTTTTTCTTTTTTATTTCACATAAATACTAGCAACATTTTCTCTGTTCCTGTCAGAGTGTTATCTGGGATATTTATAGGCAGATTTTGAAATAATAAAGTGATTATTTGCTCTTTTTTAAATAGCATGGTTTCCACAAACTCATGAAAGCTGATGATAATAAGTATAAGACACAAACAATGCATTTTAGTAAGATTTAGTAAGGGAGGTTAGTAAAGGAGAATTCTAGACTAGTACTCAAGTTTTAATCTATTACTTCAAAATGATTATTCTCTTAGTCTTGACAAAAAAGTCCAGTACAGAAACAAGCACGTTTGTCCATATTTGTAAACGTCTACACTGATTTTTACTGTTGAAGCCTCTTTTCAAAATTTATCTGAGATTTATATCTAGTGCCTCTCATTGTGCTGTATAAGCACTGCACTTTGGCTGCTGTACAATAATAAGGACCTTTGGAAATGTAAAGAAAAGTATCTTGATTTCACTACAAATGCATAAAGACAAATTATCTGAGATAACTGAATCTTAACATGGAAAGTCTGCTTGAGAAACAAACTATAGTTAGTAAAATATACTGCTTTTAGTTCTGTTGACTATAAACACATACTCAAACTTTAGCCTTTGGCCACAGAACCTGGAACATTTATGAATTAATAAATAAAAATTATTTATGGAGTATAAAGAGCTACAATAAACTAAAATTTCACTGGATAGATAACATGATTTCTACTTGCATCAAACAACAAAACACTGTAAGCAAGCCTGCCATTGGTGTGTAATGAAGAGACCAGCAACAACTGACTGCAGGTACATGTACCTTCCAAAAAGAATGTGCACTGAGCTGATGTTGAATTTGGTATCATAGTACCACTAGATATATTTTTCATTTTAACTACGTATGCTGGGGCCCAAACCTAGGAAATACTGAATGAGAATTTAATTTCCCATTGAACTCTCATAATAAAACACTGAGCAGCTCTCAGGAATGACTTGTTGGTATGGCCCCAACTGTGCTTTCACAGATGTCAAGAAAACTCACTCTGACTTTTGTGCAGTTGAATCATGGCCTAATTGAAGAAGCACATTCACTTGACCATAAACCTTTAGCTGCTGAATATAGATTATATGGTACAGCATTTTTAGAAGGTGATTACATTTTTCAATGTCATGCTGTATTTCCTGGTGGGAGATAACTGCTTTTTATATTTCTTTACATTTATCAGTAAAATAACTGATGTGTGCAGCATGGCATTAAGAATCCCTGTATGGACTCAACAGCAACAACATTATAAACAAAAGTAAGGAGTGATGTAAATTATAAAGATAATCTACAGAGAAGTGTTTGCATATGTGCCCTATCAGTAATTAAAAGGTAATAGCATGTCCTTTCTAATCAGCCCATGTACCTACCTAAATCATTTGATGCTACCGTTCTGTGAAGTTTGTTGAAATGAAGCTCCCAGATCTGAAAATCCACTTCAAGATGCAGTCATATCAAAACATCGCCACTACCATCATCACCCTCATTATAAATTACCCTCTTGACCTCTTAAGCAAGGTCTCTGGTTATACATTTAAAACTCTGTTAGCTTTCCTGTTGTTACAGGGCATGTCTACATGAGATGCTAAAAGTGCACTAGACTCATGCTGCGCATTAGTGCATCATGGGTGAAAACCATGCTAATACACAAATGCACAGTAGTATTAGTCTACTGTGCATTAGGAACACTTAAAAGGTATGTGCTGGTGCTACTGCGTAATAGTGCCAGTTACTGTGCATTGATTTAGTATCTGGTAATAGAGGTACTAAATGAAATACGCATTAACTACAGCACATTAATGAATGTGTAGATGCTCCCACAGTGTACTGTAAACTTCTGCTTAGTTTTCTGCCCATTGTCATTAGAGCTCTCTCAGAACTTGTGCTGTTCAGGTTTCTCCTTCTTATTAAAAATCCATGTTTCAGGATATTTTCACATGTTTTCATTTTTCTAGTTTATTTTGTTATTCTCTGCCCTTGCTTTCTCTTGGGCTTCTCTGTATTATATATCCCCACATTATCATCATCCTTGAATTCCATACACTAATACGTTGTTTTCTTCCTGGTTCAGAATCTAAATGAAATGTTAAGCAGACTTGACTTTGAGGTCTGTTGTATCCCTCTATACATCTCCCTTCAACTCAACATATTCCTTCTTATAACAACATTATAATAACTTGGTTATGGTTCTTAGTTCAGATTTCAGTGAAAAATATCAGTGTTTCTGTCTGAGCCATTTTGAACAACAATTTCCAGAATCAGGAGCTGGTGAGACATTATCAAACTTTTTGCTGAGATTCAAAGGAATTTTATCTGGTATATTTCTTTTACTCACTATTTCTCATTCTGGAGGGATATCAACACAATTTTTCTGTTAGGATTTATTCTCCATAAATGTATGTTGTTTATTGCTAATCTCTAGCTGGGTGCATCTACACAAGATGCTTTACTGCACATTAGACTAATCTAATGCACAGTAAAGTGTCACCGTCTACACTTGTGCCTCAGTTACTGAGTATTAAAGTAGCTAATGTGCCATTTGCTAGTACCAATACATACAGGTACTAGAAAAACATCACGTTAACTACTGTGCTGAAGGAGACATGTAGACCCCGACTGGAAACAGTTGCTTCTGGTCAGCCCAGGCAGCAGGGGGCCACAACTGCTGCTTGGCTAAGCTCCAATCTCTGCAGGGCAGAGGGAGCTGTCCAGGCTCCAGGGAAGCTTCTTCCCAGCCATGCAGAGATTGGGGACAGCCCTAGTCTCTGCAGGGCGGGAAGAGCTGTCCTGGCTGCAGGGCAGTTCCTTCTCAGCTGCAGGATGGAGGAGCAGCTGGCGTCAATCACCAGACTGCTGGGAGGGAGATGCCCTGCAGCTTGGATACCAATCTCCCACCCACCCTGTCTAGGCCTGATCCCTGTGCCCTCTGCCAGCCTGAGGATGGCACCTGGGGGAGCCTGGAGCTCCCCCTGGCTGCTTCAGGGGGGCAGAGCATGACAGGAACAGCCCTAGACAGAACTGCTGTCATCAGGAGCAAATTTGCTCCTGACAGACGCACATTCAGATGCATGTCCAGGCACAGTTTAATGTACCTGAATTTTCTGCAGAGGAAATTTCCTGCAGAGGGTGTAGCTCAGGGGTGGGCAATTATTTTGGGTAGAGGGCCACTTACTGAGTTTTGGCAAGCCATTGAGGGCCGCATGATAGGCAGCCAGGGGCAGATAAATATTAATTTTCTAAATTTTTTAGGGACCCCGCAGGCCAGATAGAATGGTTTGGTAGGCTGCATCCAGCCCCTGGGCTGCATTTTTCCCACCCCTGCTGTAGCTGCATCTACTGTGTAGTATTTTTTATCTTGGCATTTATTCCACTTATTTCCTGTTGAGAAAAGTTACACTATACACGTTTTTCTATATAAGAAAATAATTTCCAGGACTACCACTCATTTGAAGAATGGACCACTTTCAGTACCACTATCATTGTATAAAAGAAATAATTGGAGTAGGTGAGAGGTTATAGAACGTTTGTTAGCTAATTTCCATAATATACTTTGGCATGTCATCTAACCAAATGTTCTGTTCCTGTTCAGGGTTTTCTTTGGTAGCTTTCTAACAATACTTATTATATAGAGTCTATCTTAATTCCTTACTTTTCAAATTCCTTAGTTCTATTTTTCCCCATAAATGCAGTTTTAAAACAGGATCAAAACAACCTAGTTTGTTGTAATCCTACTATATGTATTTATCTATTACCCAAGAGTTGAATATCTTCAAGACAATTTTTAAAGGGGCTTTGATTCAAGTTATATTAACATACACAAAACCTGTATATGCACATTCTGGCTCTCATGTTTTTGAGCAGTATGACTTTCAAGAGGCTGAAATAGCTCACAAAAGCTAAGTACATCTTGCATCCAATAATTCTTTACCTGCAATATCTATACAAACATTTGAATAAACAGAGTCATCTGAAAGTGACGGAAAGCCACATTTTGCAAATTCAGTTCTCCATCTCTGAAGCTGGCAATTGCAAGAATATTTTCTCCCTAGCTACTGGAGCTCCAGAGATGGATAGGTGTGTATCAGTACTTACAGCTGTCCTCTTCTTCCATGAAAACACTGATCACGTAACAGGCATACACAAAACCAATCAACTGCACGAAAATAAAAGGAAAAATAATTATTAGAACAATAAAAACAGATGCTTAAGAAATATACGTGCCAAGATTAAATTAAAAAATATATTTGTTTTACTTTCCTAACTTACATGATGGTTTTAACACAGGTGATTACACAATTTGTACACATTACCTCATTAAGGCAGGGCTATATTCTAACTTCATTAACAAGCAATCAGCTCATTAAGATCATGCAGGGTTGCACAACTAACACCAATATGAAGAAACTGGACCTTTGTGTTTAACTTCTTTCTGCCATTTATGGTATATTCTCTTCCCTAAGTGCACACATTCTTTCACTGACAATGAATGCTAACTAGCAAGGTAGATCAGTTGCTGAAGAAGCCCCCACATATTTACTTTACATGTTAAAAGGATGTAGTATTTACTGTATGCAAAGGAAATACGTAATTAAGTAATTAAGAAAGTCACTAAATCATCAGCTTATGTTGCATGAAGTATAGTATTGCATTATTGAAAACAGGCTGTTAAATTCATCAGCTTCAGGAAATACTTTATCAGGGTAAGTCTGCTTCATTGTAAAATAATTGAAACATCCTCATTCCTGAAAGTCCAACCAGAAATGCCACTTATTTAAAAGAAGCTCCTGCAAAAACATCCTCATTGGCTTAATTCTATGTTACTTGTAACACAGAAAGGAAGGATGGGGCTCCGCTTGATTTATTTCCCGGGAAGATAAAATGTTCTCTTATAACCAAGGAAGGAGTGAATCGGTCAAACAAACATTTTAAACCAGATTGCCCTACAAATCTTTGTTGTTGAGAAAATAAACGGTGTTTATTGATAGTGTTACAGAGTCTTAAATCTATGTCGCGTGGGACCTTGTAGGAATGTTTGGGGTTATGTTTACCTCAGACCTTTTTAAATACCTACAATCTGGTCCATTTTGAAGATCAGCAATAAAATGGGGTTCTTTTCACAAACATTTTTATGAGGATAAGTTACCTCTAACAATGATGATTTAACAGAAGCGACACCATAGGCAGAGAAATCCTCCTAAACTGCCTTTCAGTTTGGTTGTGCCAGAATCTTGCTGAACAGCTCCAGGGTGTTCATTGGCAGACAACGGGCTTCCCATCAGGAGGACACTCGGGAGACTTGAGATGAATTAACTAAAGATGTGAAGTCAGCGCATGTAAGATAAAGAGCATTAACACCCTCTTTGGATGCTCTCATTCGGAAGTAAAGTAGTCCTAATAGCTTAATCCTCTTCCAAGGGATTAATCCTTCAAGGAGATTTAAGCCATAGAGAACTAATGCCACCTTTCCTTCTGAATAAGAGCCATCATCACAGGGTTTAATGCAGCTGCACCATCCCACAAAACACTGCTTTCTGGACAATCACCAGGGTGATGTTTTTGGGTCCTACACATTAGCCTGTTTAGCTCAAAGCCTTCTTTTGCCTAACATGCTTGCAGTTCTGGCACTTCCTTTGGCTTCCCTGGCAAACTTGTGTGACAAGCATAAAGTGCACTCACCTTGAAGCAAGTGCTCCACACTGGGCACAGCGTGCCATGCAGCAGAGGAGGTTTGTCCCTTCCCAGGCACCATAGGGAGCAGGAAGTTTGTCCCTCTAAGGATGCCAGACTGAAGGCAAATGGAAATCTGTCCCAGCAGAGACATCTTAGAGGAGGGAAGTCCTTGTAAGAGGCTGGGAAAACAAAGACAGGCCACAGCAAGCCCATGAAAAATCCCAGCCTCCTGATTGGCTGGGAGGGTTCCTTTAAGAGAGAAGGTGTGCATGTGGGGCCAGAGAGGGGAGAGGGAGCCTTGTGGGGTGGATCCACCCTCTAGGGTGGCCAGAGCTCATGAGGGGATGTGTGGCAGGCCTGGGAACATGCAGCTCTGAGCAACCAAGCCAGCGCAGGCGGCGGAAGGCCTGGGCTAACAGGGCTTAGCTCTCCCAAACTGGGCTGGCGACAGCAGCTCCAGCACCACTGCCACTGCAGCACTGTGTCAAGTGCCCCTGCTGTTCACTCCTCTGCTGCTGTGTGCACAGCACCAGCACGTGCCAGCCCTGGACCGGCCCTGCGGGAGGGAGGGGCAGGGACAGGGGCAGGTGGGCACTCTCTGCACTGCTCAGGCCCCCCAGATAATATTTTCTAGTGCTCCTTATGCGAGCTGGGGCTAGAGGATGTGACAGGCTGGTCCCTGCAGGGACTCAGCCACTAGGAACCTGTGTCTCCATGTGGGGTTCAAGGGAAGGCAAAACTGGAGGAAGATAGCCTGGGTTGTCTTAGGCATCTGTGAAAGGCTGGGTTGGCCTGAGGGGAAGGGGGGTATCGGGTGTCACACAGGAAAGTTTTGTGATAGAGGATACCCTTTGGGGGGTGCGCAAAGGGCTGTGGAAAGGGCACCATAAGCAGTGGGGGAAAATATTATTGGGGGGGAGGGCTGAGCCCTGCCTGACCCCCACCCCTCCCTCCTGCAGGGCCGTTGTGGGGGCTGGAATGTGCTGGTGCTGTATATAGTGGTGGAGGAGGAGCTGCATGTTGGGCACTGGGTGCTGGGGGATGGTGGTGCCATGGTACTGCTGCTGTCACTGGCCACAGTGAAAAATTTGGTGGGGAGGTGCTAAGCCCCATTAGCCCCAGCCTTCTGCCACCTATGGGAGAGTCCCAAAAGGGTTGGGAAGTCCAGTGGTTTTTGTGTTGCTTTGTTGTGTTTGCCTTTGAGTTAAGGCTTATATCAGGGTAGGACAGCACTGTGTAAGGGTATCAGGAGCCAGAATCAGCTACCAGATGAGCCAGAGAGCACAGCGTCCTCTACTGGCTGCTGCCTGCAAACCCACCTGAAGACCTGGGTGTGTGCTAAGCCTAACAGACCCCAAGCTGCACTTCTCCTGCTGACCACTGAAAAGTTGCAAAAGGCATTTTATTGTTACCCTGAGCATTGGGGTATTAAGTCATACATGTATTTAAAGTCTCGTGTTATTAATGTATAGTTAAGTATGTTGGGGTCAAATTAGTAAATGTGTAAATATTGGGCTGTTTATTGTTAATTGGTAACCCATTCAGCCTCCACAAGAGAAGGCTGAGGGGGGACCTGGTGACTGTCTATAAACTCACTAGGGGGGACCAGAAGGGTTTGGGGGAGACGCTGTTTCCCCTAGCGCCCGCTGGCATAACAAGGAGTAATGGGCACAAGTTGATGGAGAGGAGGTATAGATTGGACATCCGCAAAAACTACTTCACAGTTAGGGCGGCTAGGAGCTGGAACCAACTTCCAAGGGAAGTGGTGCTGGCCCCTACCCTGGGGGTCTTTAAGAAGAGGCTGGATGCCTACCTGGCTGGACTCATTTGAGTCCCGTTTTTGTTTTGGGGTTTTGTTGTTCTCCCGCCCTGGCGGGGGTCGGGCTAGAAGATCTACTAGGTCCCTTCCGACCCTAAATCTATGAAACTATGAAACTATGAACTTATTAGCTTAGTTATGTATTTTCCTTTTTATGTTATTCATAAATTCAAGTGCCTATAATTTGTGTGCATGTATATATCAGTTTAAATCCTGTCTTGCACGAGAGGAGGGGAACTCAGGATACTCTGCTGCTCAGCTGCTACCACTCCTTCAGTGGACTGGGAAAAAGAGTGAGGCCATTGGCACCCCAGGGATCCAAAATTGGCAGTAGGCCACCCTAGTGTGGCAGACCAGGGTACATTTGCTATGCACAGGATGTACCTGTTATGCCTTCATAGTCATGGACTCCTGTGGCTCTGTTCTCATAGACCCCCAGGATCAGCACTGACCTCCAGACTCCCCAGTAACTTATGTATATTCTCTCCCAGGGCTCAATCCTTTTGCACACCCTGGGTTTGCAATTTGCCTCTTTATGAGCATCTGACAATTGAAGTAAGAGACATACAGATATTTGAAGCGATTTGAAAACCAATTGCTTTTATTTGATTCAGAAAGAAATATACAGTTTTAGAAAAGTTGTTGTTACTTATTATTTGTATTGCCCAGAGTGGGGCACAGTGGCTAAGGTATGTCTTAACCATACTTTCTCAGTACACCACTGGTTGATGATGATAGTACTCAAGAGTCCAGCTCCTGGACAAAACCTGGTTGTGATAAGTGATGTATCAACACAACAAAAAAGATGGTTCCTGTACCAAAGAACTTCAGATCTAGGTAGGGAGCCAGGAGACAACAGGTGGTGGGAGTACAAGGAGATGATACTGATGGTTAGCATGCTGAAGAGTGCTCTCAGAGCACCATTTGCTAGTTTTTGTAGGCAGCAGCACAAAGAAGAATTTTGAAGGAAGACATTTAGTTACCCACATAGATTTTACTACTAGCTCTTCTTGAATGTGAAGAGTACCATGGGAAAAAATATGAAAGTGCTTCTTTAAAAATGTAAGAACTAGATGATAGTTCTGGGCTCATGAGAGGTTAAAGTGAACATCTCAGACTGAATGAAAGATGATATATAGGAGAGGCTGTTACAGATGTTGAAAATAAAAACAGGTAGCTTATTTGATGTGTTTGGGAAGGGGGAGAGATGCATAAAGACAGGTGACACAGTCAAAACAACAGACTAGAAAAGTGATCTTTGCTGCAGTATCATGGATAGATATGGGTTGGTCAAGAGAATATTTGTCAAAGCCTAGGGAAATGATGCTCTAGTAACCAAGATGCAAGATGATCAGAGCCTGGATGAGAGTTTTAGCTAGGTGGTGGAATAAGAAATGCTATATACTGCATTAAAGAAATTATACAGAAAGAATCTGAAAATTGTAGATGAAGAGAGGGCTGAGTCAAAGATGACTCAGCCCTCCGACCCTAGACACTATGAAACTATGACTCCAAGGACATGTGCCTGAGCAGCAGAATGGTGATGCTGTCCACTGTGGTAGAGAAAGGAGAAAAGGGAGGTTGTAAGCAAGTAGATTAGAGCTCTCTGTTAGTCACACCTTCAGGCAGGAAGCAATGTAAAATGGGATAGGGAAAACAGTCCA